TGTCTGAAGCGCACGGTGGGTGCATTGGCGTGCGTGCCCAAGATCCTGAGAAGAGAATGGAGGAGAAGGGAGAGCAGCGTGGCCATCCCCCTGGGGTGCAATTTCTTGCTTTCTGTCTCCCTATCTCTCTCTGTCTTTCTGGCTCGCACACACACCCTATAACAAAAACCTCCCCCCACACACACACACACAAAAAGAATCACTGTTATTGGCCCAACAGGTGGCATGGCAGTTAAGGCACTGGATCCTATATGGCTGACTCCATGGTTCAAGTCCCAGACCCAGCAGCTTGAAAAACACACTAGGCACATGTGTATGTGTGCCCAAAATACAGAGAAGAAGATATAGAAGAAGGGATTGCAGTGTAGCCATCCCCTCACTTTTCTACTCTCTTTCTGCCTCTCTGTCTCTCTCTGGCAAGCGTATGCATCCTATGGCAAAAATCTAAAAAATGAATCACTGTTACGGAGATTTATGGATGGTAAGATTGCAAGCAGCTTGGGTGACTCAGAGTAAAAATGAAGACGGATCAAATGTAATAAGAAACACAATTCTGGGACCAGCAGGTGGCATGCTGGACACTTAAGGTGCTGGACACTCCCACATGGCTGACCAGGGTTCAAATCCCAAACCTGGTGGTTTACTTTCTCACTTCCCCCCTCTCTTCCTGTGTGTGTTTCTTTCTGTCAAATTAAAAGTGAATGCATAAATAAAATTAAATAAATAATTCTTTTGGGAAAAAAAAACAATTCCTGGTAATCCTGGTAACTGCACAAAAGGCCAGCCTAACCCTTTGGCTCCTGCTTTACATTCTCAGTGCCTTCCATTTGTTCTCAAAGACCAAAGCCCTCACTCTGCCCTCAAGGTCTCAGGGGTCTGACTCCTCCCCACCCTTCCCAAAGCTCTCAGTCTTGCTCTAGTCCCCTTAGTCTCTGGTCAAGTCCCTGGAGGTGCCCTTCTTCCTCCAAGTGGCCTTGGCCTGTGACACTCTCCTCCCCTGCCCCTGGTCAGCTCCTACGTAGCTCAGGCCTAGAACACTGCACAAGTGAACACGATTTGACCCCAGCAAGATAGATACAAGTAAGAACCTAACTGTGCTCCGAGCTGGTGCCCAGCCTAACCAACTCTTTAAGGCTGTTCAACTGGCAACCCAGTATCAGTGGACAGAGTAAACGAAACAAGAAAACTGGATTTCCTTTCACCAACAGCCATGGACCACTGGAGTGTTTGCATTTCTCGTGTCTTATGTATTCTTTTTTGTATGTTAACCCAATAGGAAAGTGGAGATGAACCGGACTACGATGAAGAATCAGGAGGACTCCTCGGGGAAAATCAATTCAGCCAAGGTAGAGACAGCTGGGATGGGTTTTATATTTTTATCACTAAAATTGCCTGATGGACTTTGTGTTGTTAAAAGATGTTACAGGGGAACCATCCTTCCATCTCTTCTTGGGTCTTGAGTTGGAAGTCAGAACACAGACAAGTGCTGAATTCAGATTCATTGTGTTCTTAGTTCATCACAAGCCAAATGATATATTATATTATGCCCTTGGACTTGTTGAAAATCTCTTTCCTGCCAGAGGCATTGTGTTCTTAGTTCATCACAAGCCAAATGAAAACATATATTATGCCCTTGGACTTGTTGAAAATCTCTTTCCTGCCAGAGGCTACAAATTGAAAGAAGAGAGTAGAGACTGGGATCTGCAGTCACTTCCACCTCTCTCTTCCTCTACTGCTTTCACAAGGGTGTGGATATGCAGATGGCAGGACTGAGATTCTCTGCCTAGAAGGATATATTCCCACAGAGAGGGAAACATCATGTTTAGAGAATCAGATCCTGTCACCCACAGTTCTGGGTGGCCAGGGCTACTCGACTATGACTTCCACCAAAAATGACACTGCATTTGGTGGTAATGTTGATAATGGTGATGATGATGATGATGATAGGATGACAGTGATGATAATGGTAAGGATGATGGTGGTGATATAGATGGTGGTGATGATGATGGCGAAGTGGATGATGGTGGTGATGGTTAGTAGGATGATGGTGGTGATAATAATGATAATGGTGATGATGATGGTAAGGGTGATGATGGTGAAGTAGATGGTGATGATGGTAAGGACGTTGGTGGTGTAGATGGTCTTGATAATAATGATGATGATAATGATGATGGAAAGATGATGGTGATACAGATGATGATGACAATAATGATGATGGTGATATAGATGGTGGCGATGATGGCGAGTGGATGGTGGTGATGATGGTTAGTAGGATGATGGTGATGTAGATGGTGGTGATAATAATGATAATGGTGATGGTGATGGTAAGGATGATGATGGTGACGTAGATGGTGGTGATGGTGGTGATGATGGTGATATAGATGGTGGTGATGATGGTAGCAAAGATGGTGGTGATAATAATGATGATGATAATGATGATGGAAGGATGATGGTGATACAGATGATGATGACAATAATGATGATGGTGATATAGATGGTGGCGATGATGACAGTGAAAATGAAGGTGGTGATGATGGTTCACTCTTGGGTCCAGAACCACTAAACTTTTAGGCAGTTTATATCCCCAGGCCCTGACCTGGACCCTAAGCTCTTTCTCCAGGACATCTGAGCATGCTGCATGATGCAGCAGTTGGCTAGGCCCAGGTAGCAGAGCCATTCTTTATCTTCCATGCAGATTGCAGGAGTGGAAACAAATGTTTGAGACACTTGCATTCTCAAGAGCAGATGCAGGGCCAGAAAGGAGGACTGTGCTTAATGTTTACTGCGTAAAGGCACCCACAGAGGGAGCACATAATAGCTAAGATCCAGCCAGGCACCTAGCACTGGGCTGCTTCTACGGGGCTCCTTTTCCTACAGAGACATTCTTTTCTAATTCACAGAAAGGTGTCCTCTACAGGCCAGCAGCTGCTGGTCTACCTGCTGCGTCGAGACACAGGCTCTGCAGTCAATGTCTGACTTAACGTCTCCATGCCTCAGTGTTATTTGTCAGCTGAGGCTGGAAACAGCACACCCATCAAACAGATGCATGAAGAATAACTGAAGTACCTATATCAAGTAGTCATTGATGAATGTTCATCTCAACTTGCATATCTCCCTGAGTAAATATCTACCCTCTCATGGTCACTGTTTCCAATCTGTGGAATGACATCAAGTCTCTTCCCATCACTTCAGGACCTCAATGGAGTGATACCATCAGAGCACCCTGGGAAGAAATGTGCAGTCACGAGTTTTGGATTTCACCCTAAACGGAATCTCTTCTGTTTACATCTTTCTCATTTCTTTCCATTGACATCCTACTCAAAAACAATTCATTTTTATACTAATTTCAAGACAGATCCCACATGGCTGACTACATAATTTGAGTCTCAGATCTGATAGCTTGAAAAACACACTGGACATGTGTACATGCGTGTCCAAAATTCCGACAGGAGGGAGAAATGGAGAGAGGGATTGTGGCATGACTGTGCCTAATTGGAGCTGCTTTCTCCCCCTCCTTCTCTGTCATTCTGTGTCTTTCCGTCTCTCTCCCTCTCTCTAGTGAGTACATGCACCCTATGGGGGAAAAAAAAAAAACCCTCAGGGACCAGCAGTCGGCATTGTGGTTAAGGCACTGGACTCCCACATGACCAACCACGGTTTGAGTTCCAGACTCGGTGGCTTTCTCTCTCTCTCTCCCTCTCTGGTAAGCACACATGCCCTGAAGCAAATTTTTAAAAAAAAATTATGATGATGATAAGTAAAATTAAATAAAGAATTATTTAAAATTAAAAAAAAACTCACTATTTTTGGATAACAGATAATAATATATTATGGTAGCCTGGTCCCTGAGTTTGATCAGATTTTGTTTTGTTTTGTTCTGTTTTGTTTTAGTTATAAGGTGCAGCACTCACCAGAAACAGAGGGGGCTAAGTGTGCAATCACCCCCTAGAGGGTTGGCCACACTGCAATCATTTCTCCATTCTCTTCTCAAGATTTTGGGCATACATGCACATGAACTTGGCATATTTTCCAAGCGACCAGGTCTGGGATCCAACCTGCTCATTCAGCCATGTGGGATCCAGCCACCTTAACCACCACGCCACTTGGCTGGCCCAAGTGAGACAAGGTCTCACCATATCATGATTCCTCTGCCCCAGCCTCTCGAGCAGCTTGGACTATGGGCACACACCACCACACCCAGCCTGTTTAGGTTAGGCTGAGAATTGAACCTGGTCTCCTCTGTGGCTCAGCCTCCATGTAACAGTGTCTTGGCAACATCACTGAGCCCTGGTCAAGCTTGTTTTCTCTTTTTATGTTCTCTGATGGAATGCCTGAGTGCACAAGAGAGAGAAAGAGAGAGAGAGCACCCTCCATAAGACTTGGTCATGCCATGATCATCTTCCACCAGTCTTCCAGCCCACCAGGATCCTAGGCATTCATGCACATTCCCAGCATATTTATAGGCCTAGCAGCCCGGGGACTTGTATTGTGACTGGCATGTGGCTTCCAGCTCCACAGCCCAGCATGCTACCTACTGAGCTGCAGAGTTGGACCTGGTCAAGTTTTTAAGTGGGGTTTCTGCTAACATGAGGCTCTGGCCACCTCCGTTTTCCAAGCTGAGTGACGGTAGCCAGGCGAACATGTTCCAGTCTTCGCATCTTCCATATCATAAATTACATATGCAGAATGTGAGCACTGACAAGGCTCCCAGGTCTTGGCCAAGTGCAGTGAAAGTTTTAGACAGCACAGAACATGGCCAAATCGAAGCAGTGCCCAACTCAGTCAGAACAGATTTCCTGTCTCACGACAGAAGGGCAAGCTCCGGCTGAGTTCCATAAATGTTATTCAGTCTTTAATGCAATGAAATATCACTGCAGAAAATTAGAGAAAGCATTTGCCTGTCCTGAATGATAAATGCTAATGTTTAAAAGGATTTCAAGCCTTTGAAGGAAAGAGAAAAGGGAGTGCCAAGAAACTTTTTTAACTATTTGAGGATCAATTTCCACTCTCCATAGGTCTTAAGGTTAATTGTCAGGCTTTTTTTTTTCCTACTCTAAATTAAGTCGCATTTTTCCCAGCTAATGATAAGTAGTGAGCCAGTGCCCCCTCCAGTGGGAATACCACGAGTCTTGGGCTTGGAGAGAATATTCCATGCAAGTTTTCACAAGACAAGTCGAACCAGCAACCTCCCAATCAAAGAGTATATAGAAAATTGCTCTTGTTTTAAATATAAAACTTTTGTTTCCACCCCTCTAACCCATCCCATACCAAAGTTTAAAGAATGAATACAGTTTCAGTTTGTGTTCCAATTCTTTTATACCTACCAGGCCAAACTTTCTCAAACTTTGGTGGGTCTCAGAATCACCTGGAAAGCTCATTAAAATCAACATTTCTGGAGCCAGCAGGTGGCGTAGTGGTTAAGGGCACTGGACTCCCATATGGCCGACCATGGTTCAAGTTTCGAACCTGATGGCTTGCTTCCCGCCCCTGCTCTCTTTCACTCTGTCACTCTCTGGTGAAATTAAGAGAAAGAGAAAGAGAGAGAGAGAGAGAGAGAGAGAGAGAAAGAGAGAGAGGGAGAGGGGAAGGGAAGAGAGAGAGAGAGAGAAAGGAAGGGAGGGAGGGAGGAAAGGTAAGTTAAAAAAAAAAAATCAGATTTCCAGGGCCAGCAGATGGTGTAGCACTGGACTCCCACATGACAAATTGCAGTTCAAGTCCTGGACCCAGGGACTTGAAACTCTCACTGGGTATGTGTGTGTGCATCCCCAAAATCCAGAGAGGAGAATGGAGAAGAGATTGCGGTGCGGCCCTCCTCTCTTCGTGATTTCTCACTTTCTCTCTGACTATCTCTGTCTCTCACTCTCTCAGGCAAGTAATGCACCCTAAGGCAAAAACTTCTATAAAAAAGACAAAAACAAATTAAGGTTTCTGGCCCCCAGAATTTCTGACTTACTAGATCTGAACATTTGTAGTTCCCACGTGATTTTGATGATGATGGGTGAAGGGCCACACTCTGAAACCATTGCCCTGGGTCCTGCTTCTAGTGTTTATTTCTCTGAATTTGACAATGACGAATTTTAATTTGCTCTTTTAAAATTAGTGTGTGTTGGGGGGGGGGGAATTTGTGAGCATTGCACATCTGTTTAGGCAGCATCACTCTGATCACAAGGGCTGATTATGGATTATGGGGGCCAGCAGGTCGTGTGGAGGTTAAGGCAACTGGATCCCACATGGACGACTGCACAGTTCAAGTCCTGGATCTGGAAGCTTGAAAATCATACCAGGTGCATGTGTGTGCGTGCCTAAATTCCCTAGAGGAAAACGGAGGAGAAGGGATTGTGGCATG